TGCATGCAAGTGGCGCTTGGGAATAACTGAGTTACGTTACTAGGACATGATCAATGTGAGTTTATCACGAACTAATTTTGATTTCAGATGCTGGGTATCAAAGGCAGTTGATAGGTGCCAATTGCGTGAGCTGATCAAGATGGCGGTTCCCCAGGTGCAGCAGAAAGCAATGTCACATGCGGAGGAGAAACGCCGGGTACGGTAGCGATAGACTCGATGGAGTCTAATCCATTTACGCCAACGCATGATGCTGTAGCGCCTGCTGTCGCGAGTGTCTGAGCCAGGCGGGCTTGGTAAGCCAACTGCTTTGTCACGTGGGGGCAGCATTCAAAAGACGATTAGCCAACTGAATTAAGCATAATCAATGCAGCGATTGGTTGGTGCGCTGATCCGCATCCATTCAGTTTTCTAACCCAGACCAATCCGGCGGTTGACATGGTACGCGTACCGCATCGTCGTTGCAGTTGGTCTGTACCCGTTCCTTCGCGTTAAGTTTCTTGCGTTTCTGGGGATGGTTATTGTTTGATATCCCCGATATGGCTGCTCCTGATATGCATGTTGACAATTTGCCTGTATAGTACCCACCACCTGGTTTATACTGGCTCCAGGCGACAGTTGCTCGTTGCTGCAGTGGACGAGGTGCACAGTCCTCGTGACGGTGTTAGGCTCAAAGAGTGGTTCCATGCATCCATTGTTTCACGGGCTGCTGCCCAGCCACCGCTTTGTGTATGTCTGCCATGCAAGCTTTCCCATTTAGGTGTGAACGTTACAGTATGCTTGTTCGAGTAGTGTGGCCGGCTCCGTTGATGAAACATGGCCCCCATCCACATGTTCCCCGGTCTTTTTCTTTGGGGTTAACACTGAATTTGCAGTGTGTAGATGGAGCTGTGGGTGGTGCAGCACAAGCTACCCATGGTCCCTCTGTAGGCGCAGGTGTCCTGCAGCTGTCCTACGGGGGCTGCAGTGACATGCGAACCGAGTGCCGCGAACCATTACATATATATATATATATATATATATATATATATATATATATATATATATATTCAATGGCGCAGCGAGCCACTGGCTGTGCAATTATTACGATTTGCGAATATAGCTGGCTGAGCTTTGAACATTTTCTTCAGCCGAATTCGATTTCCCCCAGTTGCTACCGCAAACTTCAATTTTGTTTATTATATGCTTAACATTTCTTGACCTGATTTTTGTTTTTAGGCTAGTACGTATGAGAGGACAATCTGATAAACACAGACACCTCGCTGCAGCTGCCCCAATTTCTTGAAGTGGATCAAGGCTCCCTCTTGAGAACTTGCTTTATTCCATACCCTATATTCATGTCTAATGCCCTATCTAGGATCCGCTCCGCAAATCGCTCAGCAACAGCAATTCTTGTTGCTTTGGCCGTTATAATATTTCCTTAAATGTTGCATATTCCTGGTTCTGTACTATTTCTGGCTTTTTACCGAGCCTTTCTGTCTTCTTTCATTATCGAGAAATAAAGCTTTAGAGATAATCAACCACTCGCCTCCTTCCTCTAAGCTGAGGCACTTGTGGCGCTGCCATGATTTTCGTCTATCCGTCAAATGGTAGGTTTATTGTGCGACTGTCCGCGCTGTACTATTGTATGGCTGCGAGACGGCCTGTTCGTATCGTTGACCTGCACCGTCTCTCTGTCTTTGCGCACCGTTGCTTGCGGTCTATTGCCCGTGTATGGTGGTTGCACCACGTAACCAATCTGGAACTTAGACAGCGTGTCTTGGGTGGAGGCAGCCTCTCGCTTGAGGAGCTCATCCCGCTGCGTCAGCTGCGGTGGCTTAAACACGTACTGCGCATGCCCGCTCATCGTCTTTCGTGTCGGGCGTTGTTCGCGGTTGCTGGACAGGACTGGAGGAGACGGCGCGGTGGACAACCTAACCAATAGAGAAGCCACATGAAAAAGCTGACGAAACAGTTGCCCTCAGTCGGTTGTTCTCGACTCCCTGGTTGGGTTTTCAGAGATACCGAGTGTCGCTAGTTGGACACAGAAGTCATGGCTCAAAACCGACGTTGACGGTGGACGTGTATCTCTGCGTGTTGCTGGGATCACCCTTCCCTTTCCCAGTAAAACAAAAAATTGAAAATATTCAAAAACTGTGAGTGAAAAGCCACTGAAAATGCTGCATGTTCTTTTTGTTCTTATTCATCTGTTTTTTTTATTCCGCCATGATTCTGATGGCAGTATGTGCTGAGGCTGATGTTGCATTCTTGATGCTTCTTCACCGCGGGCTAAACCAACTTACACTTAAACTAGGTCTCTTTAAGCTGCATAAATTTCATTCCAGTTTATTTGGTTTGTTTTGCCTATCTGGATAGTCTTCTATTAGCTGGCCACGTTGTTTACGCTAATTGCGCTTGTCTTCGGTAATTTTGTTGCGTTTGTAGCATTTTGAGTAATTTGTGGACATTCTTTTTCCTTATCGCGGATTCATCGCTAACCAAATTACTTCATATGCTAATTTAGCGAAGCGTTATGCCAACGTATCTGTATGCATTATTGGATTTATTTTATTTCATTTTGTCGTTTCAAGTGATTGGTTGTTGCTTGATATCCCCGATGTGGCTGCGCTTGATGTGCATCTCGACAAGGTGCCTACCCATCTGTTACCCACTACAGGCTCCGAGAGACAGTTGGTCGTTGCTGGAGGGGACGGGGTGCACGGTCCTTGTGGCCGTGCTAGGCTCGAAGAGCGGTTCCATGCACTCCGTGTGGAGCGGACTACCGTTCAGCGTATATATATATATATATATATATATATATATATATATATATATATATATATATATATATATGTACTCATGAGTAGGGGATTTTTGATGTAATTAAGTGAGGTTCTTCGCAGTCAGTTTCCAAATCACATAGTCGTCCACATGCCCGGAAAAGCACTAGACTGCAGTTTCAGCCTGTTGGGCATCATCAGTAGTGCGCATCCATCGGATCCATCAGAATTCGAACCCATGACCACCAGCGGATTGAACCGCCAGTCAGCAGCTTATGCCACTGGATGGATGCGCACTACTGATGATGCCCAACAGGCTGAAACTGCAGTCTAGTGCTTTTCCGGGCATGTGGACGACTATGTGATTTGGAAACTGACTGCGAAGAACCTCACTTAATATATATATATATATATATATATATATATATATATATATATATATATATATATATATATATATATATATATATATATATGGTTGGCGGCATCCGGTTTCGGATTTGCCTGTCACTGTGGCCAGCCACAGGACGCCTGCGCCTACAGAGGGACCATGGATGGCTTGCGCTGCACCACCCACAGCTCCATCCACACACCCCATATCCAGTGTAAACCCGAAGGAATAAGACCGGGAGGCATGTGGATGGGAGCCACGTTCCATCAACGGAGCCGGCCCATCATCCTTCACAGGCAAACACAAGCACACTGTATTTGGGGAATCAAACGCACATAAGGCGATCGCTGAACGGTAGTCCTCTCCACACGGAGTGCATGGAACCGCTCTTCGAGCCTAGCACGGCCACAAGGACCGTGCACCTCGTCCCCTCCAGCAACGACCAACTGTCTCTCGGAGCCTGTAGTGGGTAACAGATGGGTAGGCACCTTGTCGAGATGCACATCAAGCGCAGCCGCACTGGGGATATCAAGCAACAACCAATCACTTGAAACGACAAGCTGAAATAAAATAAATCGAATAATGCATGCAGATAAGATGACAAAACTCTTCAATAAATGCGCATATGAAATTAATTGGTTGTCAGAAACTCCGCTGTAGGTTCAAGACATCAGCAAATTTATTTTATGAAAACGCGATGTCATCCAAGTTAACCAATGTAAGACAATGAGAAGGCTGGTATTGGGAGATGGAACCATTTCGTGTTATCTGCTCACTCGTAAATTAACAATATAAAGATGAATCTCGTGACAAAAAAATCGAAGATTTGAAACTGATCACAAAGGAAAATTACGTAGACGCAAGAATAACAGATCAACGACGTTGATCTTAGGGTCATGAGCCCCAAGGAAGCTTCGGGGAAACTGTTAATTGTTTTTGTACACAAAGGATAGGACGATGCCGGTTAAGTGCCACCGCCTCGGCAAACCTCAATAATTTGGCGTTGTCATTTCGATAGATAACTGTAAATGTTGACCTAAGGTCAACCTGATGGCTTGATTCGAGTAGATTTCTGGCGATCGATGATGCCCGCAGCTTAGATACCTTTTCTCGTTCGGCTGTTGGTTGTGTCGATATTTTAGCAATCCGCTTTGGGATATGCTCTCCAATGCACTTACCCAATGATCGATCTGTTCTGCCAATGTAACTACTACTGCAGTTACAAACGAATTGGTAAATACAATGAGTTGTGGCGGAGATCGGTTGAGTAGGCTTCACTGGAGGCATAGGCAACTTCCTGGTCTCCCAAATGGGGCAGAATTTGGCGGCATTGAATGTCTGACGAATGGCTGTATGCAAACGACTTTCAAGTTGGGCGGCCACGATATCACCTTTGAAAGGTAATTGAAGGTGCACAGATAGTTTGGGCACAGTAAGTACCCTCGGCCTGTTTTCCTTCAGTTGATTGTGGAATCGAATAAACGCCTCTGGATATCCGTTTGCCCATAGCGTGTGTGATAAACAGCAATTCCGATTCCAAGCAGTCGTCAGTGCATATTCTGAGTGCATATTTCTGAGCGGCTTCGCTCGCTGTCGATGGAGTACAGCCGATCGGCGCTTATCGCTTCCGCAATTGCCGCTTCTTTTCTGCGTGCATGAGGGCTTTCCCTTGCACCTCGGCAACGGCCTCCGTGATCAGATCGCGCCATGCAGGTCGATCAACCGCTTTCGATTCCCATTACCTGCAATCAAGATTAGAACGTGAGAGGCTCACTTTGATCATGTCCTGATAACGAATCTTCGGTTTCCCTACATGCCGCTTCCCAACACACGTCGTCCTGTGGCTGGCCACAATGACAGGCATATCTGAAACCGGATGCCGCCAACCAAAAATTGCACAGTCAGTTCATTTTCGTCTTACCTCGGCCATTGCGCACTTCCATAAGAAACGACGTCTGTATACAGCCAGGTAGCTGAAAACTGACTGCTGTTTACGTCCTCATCTTTTTTATCTTTGTGCTTTTCTAAGTCTCCAGTGCTCGTCTTCCCTCCGTAACCCCAGCGCATTTACCTAAGTGCTTAACACTACGGAACAAAATCAATACCTTTACACGCATCGCACTACTTCTTTGTGATTTCGTTTTTATCTTCCATCCACCATCGTTTGTAGCTATGGGCCTTCTGGTTGCTGCACATCACATTTAAAATCACCCGCCACTTCGCATCTCGGCGAGTGCACGTCGCATTCAGTTTTCTCAAGTCAACGCGAATATGAGCACCATTTGCTATCGCATCACTTGCTACGATCCGTCCCACTCCCGAGTCAACAATCATCGTCAACCAAAGAGGAGTGCAAATTCTCAACCTTCCACGGTAAGATTTTGTTTGATTTTTCCATTTCGGTATTTTTCCAAGATTTCTTAGTGTCGTGCTACGGCAAGGTACATTCTAGATTTAGCTGGTAACATCATTTTTCTACTTCGTCTTTATGAATCTAGTTTTCATTGTTTGTCCATTGTTGCTGTCTTGTAAGTCAGGCTATGGAGTCGAAGGCTAGTGGCATGGCACCTCGAACAAAACTGCTCTCTCGAAATGGGGAGTCGCAGATCATCATCTGCCCTCTCGACTACGTCGACAACACTCTCTCTTCTATCCTATTCCGTCTCTTCTTTCCAGTCTATTGAGTAAGATAGTGCCGCTGACTTCGCAGCTGCTGCCATCGACATATGTAGCTATTCCATCAAGCCTGGAGTTTCATATCTTATTGGTTCTTTTAACGTCCGCACTCTATGTCAGATAGCCAGCAGGCAGCACTGACTCTCACTTTTGATATTGGTTTGTGCTGTGTCTCTGAAACACGCATCATAACAAATCTACTTCATAGTTCTAGTTCTGACGAAAATGACTACACTGTTCGCGTCTCTGATGATACTGAGTCAATGGCTCAAAGTATTGCTCTCATCAGACATGCTGAAGGCAATCTTCTCGACTGGATACCAGCCGCATCTGTGCAGCCCGACTTCGAACATCTATAGGAGTTAATAAGCAGCTTCTGAAGACTAGGTGCCTTTTCACCAGCTCATTGTATCCCTTGATGACTGCAGTTCGGAGGGTATCAAGGACGCATTCTGTCGACAACTCTCGTCTCTTCGTATGGCGAAGAATACTGGCATTGTGATTCTTGCATGAATACTAAAGTGAGGCATCTCTCAGACTCAGAACAGCACCTGGGAGGCCGCTTCGAGGTCGGCGCATGCCGAACAGACAGTGGTGATCGATTCCTGCAACTGTGCGCCGACCACAACCTTTCCAGCACAAACGTTCACACCGCGTCACCTGGCGCGCACCGAATTCCTCTATGACCTGGACCCAAATTGACCATATTGCCATCGGGTACAGATGGCGCACATCAGTCCAAGACTGTCGGCCAATTTGGAGCACCTACCTGGATTCCGACCATGCTCTAGTGCACGCACGCTTGGTGCTCTCTTCGCGCTTCAAAGAAGCGCCTATCTTCTAACCCTCTTACCTGTAACTTGAACTCGCAATCTGCAGTTCAACAATATCATAACGAACTGACCCACCAATTGTCAGTGATGATAATGAGGTTGCTGACTGTAATCATCTCAAATATGCCACGAACAATGCCTTTGACGTATCCTGTGCACCCAACTTGAGACGTAACTGTGAGTGGATACCTGAGGCGTCGATCAACTTGATCGAAGCATGTGAACAGGTTCGGATGGGCACTGAGTTTCAGCGGTTCCGTAACCCTTAAACGGCGTCTGACAAGAAGTCTCCGAATCGACCCTGAACGATGGTGGATGGCAAGAGTGTATGAGATCTCGAAAGCCAGTACTATTGGGAACATCCGAGTGCTATTCCAACTTATCCGGAACGCTTGTCCGAGAGAGCCAACAGTTAGCGAGACAATAGCTGAGAAAGATGGACGGTTGATCCATTCTCAACATCCTCGACTAGCGCATTTGGCGGAACGTTTTGAAGAGCAGCTCGATAAGCCTGCTGCGACAGTGCTGCTTGCCGAATCGCCTGAGCCGACGTGGGAAGTAGTTGTTACACTTCCCACTTCAGAAGAGATTCGCCATGAGCTTTCCGTGTTAAAACGAAACAAAGCTCCTGTACCTGACGACCTTCCTCCATCGTTGTTGTAAAACGGAAGTGACTCCTTTTTGACTGAATTTACTTCTCTATATACCACTATATACCACGATTTGGAATACTGAAGAGGTGCCTTCAGACTGGCGTCTGTCAACTGTCGTGCTCATCTTCAAAAAGGGCCTGTGTACTTTTTGCGAAGATCACCGAGGCATTAGCCTTGTTTCCGTTACATCCAAAATTCACGGCTATCATTCCTCTACGACTTACTGGTCCCTGTGAGCATCGAATCACTGAAAACCAGGCTAGCTTCCACCCTGTTCGTGGTTGGATCGACTACATTTTTACACTACGCCAAGGATTAGAGCAGAGACACGCATACAGATGACAGACTATGGGGGTTTTCCTTGACTTGTAAGCCGCTTTCGACTCTGTTGATCGCGCCAGCTTGTGGCACTGTCTATCCTTAAAGGACGTGCCAGCCAAGTTCCTTTCCATTAAACAATCTCTCTATCGTGACTCCCCAGGCCGTGTAAGGGTCTACTGGAAACTGTCTTCTGAATTTCACACAAGAAGTGGAGTTCACCAAGGTTGTCCTACATTTCCCTCCCTCTTCAACTTTGTTATCGAAATGATCACGAGTGACTTGGTTCTTTCAGACTCTATCGGAGTGGAAGTTCTGCCAGGTGACCGCTTGACAAAACTGGAGTATGCGGATGATATAGCTCTTCTCGGGTTTGACACAGTGGCTGTGCAAACACTACTGGATAGACTGATTCGTAGCACTGGACGCTTCGGCATGTGCTTTGCACCTTCAATATGCTAGGTATTGTTGCAGGACTGGACCGATACACCTCCAGTTTTAGCTATTATCGAACAGCCACTGAAAGTGGTGAATCGGTACATTTACCGTGGTAGCTGTGTCGCTTCTGGTGGTGACATTACTGAAGTAGCTACTTCGCATGTCAGCAGGGCCCGTGTGGTTTTCCAGGGACAATCATTTGTGGAGACGGCGGGATACCAGCCTGTCATTGAAAGTTAGAGTGTATAACGCTGCGGCAAGGCCGGTCTTACTGAATGACCAGTTCGAGATAAAGACATTAAACGCTTGGCCATGTTTGACTATCTGTGCTTAAGGCGTATTGCTCACGTGTGGCGGGAACACCAGGTGAGCAATGCTGACGTCCACCAATTTATTGTTTGGCAGGAAGCCTTCTGGTTCCTCACTTGGGTGTTTGCTAAATCTTAATCATTTTCCTTGGCTACGCCATGTTCTCTGCACGCTCGTTGATCGCCTTCCTTTGCGTGCATTATACGCCGTGGGTGCACTAAGTTGTGCGAAACCGCAAGGTGGCCTGTCCATGCTGTGACCTAGAGGCATGACTAAACTGACTAATAGACTTGGTCAGGCTGGTGCGTGCAGTCTTCGTGGATGGGGGCCTCTTGATGGTCCACACTTTAATGATTGGAGACCGTTACAGACATGGCGCAGTCATGCAGTCAGTGACATTCCTGCATTCGATTTCTTGCATCGGGCTGTTACTTTTCGTTTCATTCTGAATAATTTAGTGTGCATTCTTCTTGCTTCCATTTTGTTTACATTGTATTTGCATTCCATCTCCATTATCTTGTTGTTATTTTTGCGACGTGAGTCATGGCAACTGGATCCACCGCACCTCGATGTTCGGGTCATAGATGTTCGCTTTAACTGAACAGAACTGATGTAATTCTCACCTCATCTTGGAATACACTTTTCCTTTGCGTGCGCACAACTCCTCGCCACATATTAATTTTTCTCTTTCTTGTAGCAGTTTGCTTTCTTTTCACATTTTTATCTCCCAAAACACAGTTGATGTTTTGTGAACTGTACCTGACGAATGAAATGTAACTAGTGGCTTACTCCCTGTGTTCTCAGCATCCTCTCTCCTTCATTTAAGTGACATCCTTTTTTCTCTACTTTTACTCTTGACACCCTTCACTGGCTCGAAGGAAAGTTACTTCGGAGTGCCAGTTATATTGATGGACTTCACTTTGCAATAATCATTTCTCATTTTTCTTCCTTCACACTAGCGCCCATCAAATGGAGTGTTTATCAATCAGTTGTCAACCTTCCAGCGATCCTCAACGATCCCAGCCATAGACAGGTAGGCGCTTTTAATGCCAGTGTCTCTTGCGTAACATCGTTGTTGCCTGGGTCGCAATCGTCGCGGACACTATCCGCCTTTAGCAGGCTGCTATCTGGTTGTTCGGAAAGTAATTCCGTTTTTTCCCAAAATAAGATTTAATTTTTCTCACAGCTAACTTCACACTTATGCCGCATTTTTTATATTTTGACAGCTACTATAGCATAGCTTGCTCGTGAAAAGTTCGATTGATTCCACGCACTATTTTTTGTTTGGCGCCATTTCAAATATAGTGAGTGAAAGGCATCATTTTCGGCATATTTTACTTTTTTACTATCGAAAAGGTAAAGATGCTGTTTAAGCAATAAAAAGATTATCCGATGTATATGGAGAAGTTGTATTGAAAGAAAGCCAGTGCCAAAACTAGTTTGCAAAATTTCGATCCGGCATTAAATACTTACTTAATTGCATTAACCAATAGTTTAATTAATTTCACCAATTATTAAATTTATTTATATTAATTGATTCAACCCGCGAACAACAACAAGATCGCTGAGAGATTAAATGTATCTAATTCGACCGTTCATGAGCATTTGACACGCTTAGATTTCATTTCAAATTTCGACATGGTTTTTCATGTTTTTACGGAAAGAAATTTGTGCCGTCACGTTGGCGTCTGTGATTTACTTCTCAAATGTCAAAAAATGGTCCATTATTAAAGCGCATTATCACTTAGGATGAGAAGTCTATTGCCTACAATAATGTTGAACGCAAGAGATCATGGAGTAAACAAGATGAACCGGCTTGAACCATTGCGAAAGCCGATATTCATCAAAAATGGTGGTGCTACCTATGTGGTGGGATTTCAAAGGAAGTGTTTATTTTAAGCTTCTACCGGACAACGCAACGATTAATTCTGAAGTCTACTGTCATCAGCTGGACAAATTTAACAGACAAATTAAACAGAAAAGACCAGAATTGACCAATAGTAAGGTGTAGTGTTCCACCAAGATAATACACATAGATAATACACACATAAGTTTGCTAACTCGCTAAAAGCTTTTACAACGGATGGGATGTGCCATCACACCCATCATATGCTCCAGATCCTGGCGCCTTCTGATTATTGTTTGTTCTCGTCTCTACAAAATATTTTCCACGGTAAAAACCTTTGCCTCAAATGGGGTCAAAAATCACCTGCATCAGTTTTTGCCAGCAAAGAAAAACAATTTTATGAGCGTGGAATCTTGCTACTACCAGAAAGATGACAAAAGGCATTGGATCGGAATGGAGGATATATACTTTAATAAAATATTCATTTATCATAAGTATATCGTTTTTCATTTTCATTACAAAAACGAAATTGCGTTCCGAACAACCAGATTACCACTAACCGAATTAGCTTTCCTCACTTTTTCGTAACTCCCTACCGCTCTGTTCTTCTTTCTGTTCTCTCTTCTCTCCATCGTTGTTACTAATTATTTTTCCGGCAACTGGAGTCATAGAAGCATGATTCAACGCACTTCTGTTTTCTGACCATATTTGTGTGACAGAAATGAATTGTTTGGCGGAATACTGGGCATTTTTTCCTTGTGCTTCGTTAACCATATCACTGATGATAAGAACGAATCTAGCTTTTGATTTTGAGTACTTTGGGTGCCACTGAGAGTCCGATATTTGGCGCCTGTCTATGGGAGCACTCAAATTTGCTTTTCGCTATCTTATTCGTTCAATTCGTATTCTTTCACTTTACAGACTGATATCTTCGCTCGCACCTGGGGTGAAAACTTCGAACGCACCGAGGTAACTCCTTCTCCTCGACTGCCGGTGATAGACGAGAGACACTTCCATGAGTATCTGAAAAAATTGGACTCTCGCAGAGCCTGTACAAACACCACAACCCCCCTTTCACGACATGCTTTTTTGCGGACTGTACATGATGCAGGTCTACCGCAGCGGTCCCTGGTCCATCGCTCAGCAACGAGTGAGTCTCCCACAAGTTACCTCCTTTCCGTCTTTTAGAGACATATTCATTGTCCGAAACATCATCTGCAACATCTACCTCATTCCACTACTGCCTTAATTTCTTCCGAAAACAATGTCCTCCGGATCGACTTTTACGCTAATACCGGAATTCGGCTTTCCTACGTAATAGATATGTAGCGTGAAATAGTCACACACAGTTGCTTTCGATTGTGTTACTCGCATGCTATTATCGACAAGTCGCAACTTCTTCATTCTTCTCCGTATTGCAGGTCACACAAATTTCGTCTCTCTGGACACTATTCCTTCCATGCTGTTTGCTTCAAACTTCAGTCTTCGAGATTGGAATACTTTCTCTCAACTCATTCCGCTGCATCCACGCCCCGCACCTGGTGATCGTTCCATCGGGCGCACGACCGTACTCGACGAGTATGTTGATTTGCCCAATCAAAAAGATGACTTCCTTGCACAACATGATCGATTGGCCAACTATTTAGACATTGTCGAAGTTCATCTAGCCGAGCAGGTTAGTCGGGGCTGCTCCATTTCTGTCGTCAGTGAAAATTCCACCTTATTGTCCTCTCATTTCCTGTCTGTTCACTACAACGCAAGGTGCGTTTTTGCGTAAACATGATCATTTAAAGCTTATGACCCTGCATTCACGATATCCTCACCGTCAGCTTAACAACCGCGTCCATTCACCCATCCATTTCTTCTCAGGTTTCCAGAAAGTCATCTATGTTTTTCGAAGCAGTTTGCTGCCACGATGTTGTCCGAGAGCAGTTATGCCTGGCTTTTAATCAAGTCAGGCGCGTACAGTGAGTTTTTGCCTGTTCCCGCCTCCGCATGCACTCGCTTGAATTCCCGAAACTTTATTCACATTTTTACTTATTTTGCACCCGTAATCGCCAGTAATGTGTCGTGGCACGGTGCGCTAAGTGAAAATGCCGATTGGGCTCTTCTCTTTCACTAAAGTTAACCCGCCTATATTCGAACTTGTACTTCGTCCACTTCACTTTGGTTAACTTGAGACTGGAATGTTCAGTTATTGTTGGTTTAACTCCCGAGATGGTAAGTTAGTGCTTGACTAAAAGGCATGTAGAAGCTTACCGAAAGGCTTGTTACTTTGACCTTTGGGCTCCTCGAAACCGACCACTTCGGTCATTGGACACATCGAATATGAGGCACATAGTTCGTGATTCACTCACATTCGACCTCTTCACTATTCTGATGCAATTTCCTGTTCATTTCTCTTGTATGTTGGTTAGCTGCACTTCATCTCGGGCATGGATCATTGACAAGTTGTACCGGACTGTTCACTTGTTAGGACTTGCGGTTGATCGAGCAGAAGCGTAGGGTATAATGAAAATCGGCCTCGTTAACACAACACCCACTGCAAAGACGATATTGATTCACTACTTTCTATTCGGTACGATGTACATGGTGTGGCTCCTGGGTTTTGCGCATTTCTGCCTTTCTCATCTTTTATACCCGAGGTCAAATTATTGAGATTTGGGGGTGTATGTATCTCTTCATTGACTCAGCATTTGTCAATTACGGTGTTGTGGCGGCTTGCAGCCCCCGTTCTGCTCACTGGAGTGGGGTCACGGCTTCGAGCTCTCCGCTTGCGCCACACTTCTGCTGATCTCGAAAGGATAAAACTGCAATTCAGTTAGTGACCATCGGGTTTGGCATGGTTGTGAATAGTTCTTGATGTCGTCTCTCTGTCTAGTCTTCGCTGTTGCGATCTCAGAATTTGGCTCCCGCGGTCCCTCTTTTACCATCTACGTTCTTATTGTAGAAACTGGAAATTACACCCAGTTCGAAATCCAGACCATCAGTTTCTCTCTGTCTAGTCGGCATCGGAATTTTCCCCTTTCGCGCCGCTCTGATTTTTAGCTATATTTCAGTGCACATTCGCAGTGTGCAGATCTTCCACAATCGTACGACGAAAATTGGATAATGTTTTAATATAGCAGATGTGATTGACTGCTCGTGCTGATGGGGTCTGAAAATGGTTGAGGCGTTGCATAGATCGACTGGCACTTGATGACAGCAGATTAAACCTGATAGTAGCACTGACCTATCTGTCGTGTCACGTTTGGTCCCAATCCCACAGTACAAGTTTCATAACCACTTCTTCGATAAGTTTGTCTGTCACTAACACTGCGGACAGCCACAGGATGCCTGTGCCTGCTGAGAAACCATGGGAGATTTGCGTTGCATCACCCACAGCTTCATCCACCCACCCATATCTAGTGTTAATCTGAAGCAGTAAGACTGGGAGGCGTGTAGATGGGAGCCATGACTGATTCGGACCCGGCGCATACTCCTCTAACATGCACATCATTCATATGTAATTGGGGAAACCTACATACCAGATTTACATAGGGTGATCGATGGGTCGTAGTCTGTCCAATACTGGATGGAACAACTATCTGAGCCTTTCATCGTTATGAAGACGGGACACTCCGCCTCCCCAGCAACAGTTAACAGTCTGGAACCAGTAATCGAGATGATAGTTTTCGTCCATTTGACACCCTGTTAACAGTGGTATCAAGCGCAGTCAGGCCTCGTATGTCAACTACCAAACGCTGCCGAATATGCGACAAATTGAACTCACAAGTACATATGCAGGCCGGCGGCAGCGGCGTCCAGCACACGTGCACCACCTGCCGCATTATTGACTTTTAGGAAATGAAACCAGAAGAAGCGTAATATTCACGCACTGACACTAACCCATTTAATCTACTTTTAATCGTTTCGATATATTCTCCTCGTTGGCACGATGATGATTTACAATGCCGACTAGGCTGAGGCACACATGATCGCATGTGCTGCGGTACCAGGTGCTAGACGTCGATGGATGACTGTAACAGGCGTTTCTCTTCTTGATGCAACAGTCCTTCCTCGTCCACCAACGTTACGGCATTTTTGATGTGGTCACGCCGTTGGTGGCGATCCACTACCATTGCTACTCAATATCTTAAGTCACCATCAGTTCGCAATAACCTCCTTGATTATGTCCTGGTTTCGTAGCTTCATTGTCCACATTTCGTTTGCCTGCCCACGCTTGTCCGCACAGTTAGTGCTTACGCATCCTGGTCGCATCAATACGACGGATGTGTGCGAGCGACCCACGGTTTCACAGTAGCAGCATGCAACGCATTCCATACATGCTGCTCCGGCGGAGCACTTTTATTTCAGGGACTCTGTCGCACTTTATGAAATCACCCGAGCTATCGAATCTCTTTCCGGTACAGTGTCCACGTTTTGCTGCCGTAGAGGAAAACCGACAGCACCATCGACCGGTATAACTGCCTGCACCACGGCATCATCCAACGTGCGCATTGAAGTCACATAGCAGGAATAGCTAGTCGTTCATCAGGGCGTACCGCATCACGAAAAACATCCGAAATCAGAACTAATCCTTTTTGTCATCAGGCTAACGCCTGGTTGGATCACACGTGCTAATGAAAGTTGCAAATTTGCTTCTTCCGATGTGTAGTCGGAGTATCATCAACCTTGTGCTGATGCAGTTGGTTCTTCCTTCAGGTGTCTTTTTGGGCGAACAGATGGTGCAGATCCGAGGCCATGTACATGTTCTGCTGTGTTAGCGTTTCCCACTCAGGAGGACATGTAGTCAACACCACTCTCGTGCATCTCATCTTAGTCACCCAACCTAGTCTCACTAAGTGCGGCATTAACAATGTCGTAGCGCGCGAGTTCCATGGTAACCAGTGCGTGGAATGCTCATTCGTGGACCGATCTAAGAGTATGTGCAGTTCCAGTATCCGATTCTGGATGCTTTCCGTAAAGTTTTACGATTGCACCGGTTGGTCGCTGGAGCAGCGAGTTGGGTTAAGAAAGGTAAGATGGAGCGTAAGACAAAATGAAGACTGGGGGAGGTGAACGTGGATGGGAAGGGAAAGAATTAAGTGGGGAGACGACATCGGTAGCACATTTGTGCTTATTCACCTTCGTGCGACGGCCGATACAGCATTTGTTTAGGTCATATTTGATAAGTGGACTGACGCTACTGCTAAGACTCTCACACATAAACCAGAAAACAACTCGAGTCCTTAGCCGAAGCTTTCGAAAAAATGTACTCTCGAAATATACTGTGAGATGCACCATTATTCAGTCTCCCACGCGGATGTGTTCTGGCTCCTAAGTAAAAGGCTGCAACCCTGCTCCCGCTTAGCAATCACCACGTGGATGCATCCAGAACATGAGTCGATGGCAGGACTAGAGCAGCAGGCCTCGGTGATCAGTCAGATCTCGCCTTCACAAGACCAAGCTGCCCTTCGGGCTTCGCGCGTGCGTTCACCCCAATAAGCGGTATCTATCCTGGCTGCTACATTTGTTCCTTCTCGACCAAATTACTCACAAGTGCCCACTTTTTGTTCATTCCTACATATGGATGACTCGTATAATTACGGCACCCGGGTCACCTGGCTTTCTTGACTGCAATCAGCTGCTATCCATGTTTACTTAGAATCGGTGTGAAAGTGCCGAGTCAGACACGATCTTTGTCCTAACCGAATGAGGACGGGTCGCTCACGGGCATAATCATGCCTATCGGGAAGACCTGCTTCACCTCTTAGGACACCACTAGCTGTTGAGATAGCAAGATCTCGACTTCAATTACGTTTATCAGACATTATTCTTGCATCGTAGTACATCAGGCCCAGTTAGCTCGATATCTTTGGTCACAAATGTAATATGGAAAATGATTTAGAGATGTGAGAGAAAAGCTCAATACGCCTTATATTAAAATTGATATAATCTTGTCGGGGATGTGCACACCAGAATAGGGGGAGCAATTTCAAGAGAATAGGAGACTATCACTGGCGGTGAGCAAAACATATCCGACCGCTAATGTTCATATATTTGCTGAAACTGTTCCACTCGTCACCCAACGCCTCAAAGATAGAATCCCGGCTCGTTCCGAATCTTTTGTTCTATATCAATTCACCTGCACCCCTGGTGCAAGGTACCGCGGGCATCCGATCAGATGTCTAACTAGGCGGATACATTTGTTGACATGGCAAGGACCCGACTCCAATGGCGTTTGTGTTATGAGTTTCTTTGTTCCTGTCGCAACTACTTTTTACCAACCTGATTTTATACTGTATTCTATACTGCTTTGTGTCTCACTTTTTTAATATATCATATCTGTTTGTTTGGGGGCATATTACTCATCTTCAACTAACATGTAATGATGATGAAGATCAGCGCATTTTTTATCATGATTACGTGACCCCACGGCATGCATCAATCTGTCTGTCTATCTATTTGACGATTCCGCAAGCCTTTTGCATTGTCGGATATCGCGATCTGAAAATTGTGTTCGGTTGCGCTCAGTTTCGATAAGGCAATACGATTAGCTCCTGATGTTACTGACCGGAACCGAATCTTTGCTGGTACTGCGGCCATTTTATCAGCACTTGTTTGTGTCCTCCATTCTTCATTGGTTTCTACTTTCGAGCGTCCAGCATTCACCTTTGCATTCTTCCGCCTTATCACCCTTATTATTTGATGCATCTCGTCCACTTACGATTGCCGCATCCCCAGTCGATCGAATCGTAAGCTTACGGTCGCTTTGTGCACACCCTTCTATCTTTCTGCCGGTACAGACACGCCAGGCTGTACTGAAACTCAGGGCGGACACAGAGCAACAAGGGGTTAAATTCAACTTACTTTCCCTTCACTTTTTTGTTTTTTCCTTCGAGTAAGTATTGACACTAAGCCTATTGGACTTTTCAATTTCTCCTACTCTTTTTTCTCTTGCGCAGAGATCAGCTTCGTCGAATCGACTCAAACATCACGCAGCCAGGGATGCGACTCCATCGACTGGTCAGACGACGAGCAAACTATCGGTTGTTGTTGAGAAAGGTAAATATTTTGAGGTATTTTTATCCCATTCGTTGTGTTCCCATGCTTTTCTAAATCCATATTGCTCCGAACTACTTAAGTACAAGTCTTTCGGTTCTTTTTGAGCTGTTTGACAATGCGCAACATCTGCCCTATCCTGTATAGGTGAGTAACAGCGTGTTTGCGAAACAACAACCATTGTACCAGTTACCTAACCTTTTTACATTATCACAACCAACTTACTACGTGTTACTTGTATCTTTCTCAACATTGCGCTGTAAAAAGGGGATCATGCTGTGGCATTTGATTGCAATAAGAGCTCAGATAAAAACAAGCTCGGTGACACTTTTATCTGATAACAAAAGGGTGCATTTTGTTTGATTCTTAAAGCAATTTATCACCGCACACTCATTCAGCAACTGCATGTCCGGTAAAGCACCGAACAGCAGTTTCCTCCTTTGCACGTCTTATCAGTAGTGCGCTTTCCATCCGTCCGTTAAGGGAACAGAACCCGTGACTACAAAGCGCGAACCGCAGCTAACGGGACCAAGTAGCCAGCTGTGTGATAACACGTGTCCTCCTCCTCTACTGCTGTGTATGCTTCCAACGTTCAGAAATCTCGGTTCTTCCCTAGAGAGGACTCTTACTGAATCACCATCATCCAATAGCGTTATAACCTGGGTTGGACAACTACTACTTTTTGCGGAGCAGTAATAGGAGGGATTTCGATTAGGTCGCATTTGATGGCAACGTTATAAGCAGGACACTTTTAGTTGGTAAATTCGCCACTATATCATAAATAACTAAATAAATAGTACCTTTTCCTTGACGTCGGGAAACTGTATCCACCAAGGTAACGGATCATATTTACACCAACAACGTACTCATAGACGCAAACGTATTAATGGCCTTGGCCGATGCGAAGATACGGATGAACCGTTCATATTCCTCTCCCATCAGTTCCGCAGGTGTACTCTCTAGAGCCATTCCTATGTACAACAATGATCACGAACTGAATTAAATTGGAAGCCTCAGCCAAATGAAACGAGAAAAGCAGCGCAGATTTAGACGCAGCAAAATTTGCAGTTTAAAAGTATTTAGACCAGTTGTATGTGTGTAACCTAGACACGATAAGATGACTAACAAGACAAGGGTGAGAAATGGGAAACTTGAGCTGATGTCCTTCTACAGCTCTCCATGAAATATTATCTTTTGAGGATAGCCTGGTATGTTTAGAAACAATGCATTGACCAAGATGAAATGTTTAACACTGAACAAGTTGAATCTTTCCATTCCCCACCTAAAAGCGGAAAGATTAGAAACTACGTTCTCGAGAACCCGGAGAAAATAGCAATAGCCTGAGCAGGCACTGAGCAGGATTCCGTTATTCTCTTTTGATGCCTATTCTTCTAAGTTCAATAAATTGTGCATTTGCCGAGCTTGCATGCAAATGTTTAACGGTCTTAGGTGAGATTGTCTTTTAGAACCCACTTGCACGTGTGTGGTGTGTTCGGGCGAATGATAAAGATTTTTGTAGGACACGAAGAAGCAAAGCGAACCTAAAGATGGGAACTGTCAGCTTAGTGAACGGTACACTAATGCAAGAATGAGGAGAAGCTTAGGAGACAGGAAAACAAACGAAAGACGGATTCTGGGATATATGAATATGCATGTGTATATGTATATTTACTGACAAACGGAAGCGATCATTTGTATAGTGAATAGGTTTCATGGTTTATGCGGCGTAAATCATAATCGTAAAGAAAAGTTTATTAATAGAATTTCGGATCATGATTTTTTTCCCTCCGGATCCTAGATCCGTGCACCTCATATGTAAAACTTACGGATGTTTGTATCATCATTTTCTAGTTTGTGGGGCTCAGGAGTAGAGAATAAAAGGGAGGGGCTACTACGCTGCACAGACACAGGATTTGATATTGTAGGTAATGACAGGTAGTGCGTAGGCTAGTTGTAAGCGAATATCTGCTCATATGTTTTTTGTGCCAGATTTTGTCAATGTTTCTAGAGTTTGCTGTGAGTCAGATCTTCAACACATTTGATATAGTGAGGAAAGTCTGAAGGGAATTTCGAAACGTGACATAGCTTGTACTCATGCGTATCTGTAGGGGTAGTTTGTTCCACAGATCAGTGTATCTCACTAAGAAGAAATTCGATTGAGTTTTATGACGAAAGATTCATGCGCATCAAGTAGTCGCCATTACGTGTGGGGTAGACTGCAGTCTCCCGCAGTTCAAGTGCGGTGCTGTCTGCGTAAATTCGTTGGTTTATAATGTTGTAGAAGAGAATGAGGTTGTTGTTTATACGTTTCAAGCAAAGAGGATCCAGTTGAAGTTTTCGGCAGCGATCCTAATAATAAGTGTGAGCAGCGCCCCATGACCAGCTTCGTAAATGATCGTTGGACATTTTCCAGAGACGTTCTGTCTTTCTCAATTGGCTGTGAACGATAGTACAATATTCTAGAGTCGGTCGTACTATTGTCTTGAATGACTCAAGTCGTGCTTCAGGTAGGGAGAAAGTTCTGGTGGTATATCCGCATAACTGCCTTGCTTTCGCAACCTGATAATGCACATGTTTGAAGCAATTGAAAGAGTTGGAGTACCTAATTCCTAAGTCCCGGACTGAATCAGACGTTAGGATCACGTTTCCGGCATGTGTGATAGAGTATACTGGAATGCGGCATCTGTACCCAAGTACTTGGGATTTCACTGCGGAGAACTTCATTAATAAACGCTCACTAGCTATATTTAGTGCGGATAGATCTTCACAGATGTTTCCCAAGCATATTTGTAGTTGATTTGAATGAAATGAGTAGACCAGTTTGACGTCATCTGCCAACAGAAATGGGTGTGCATATTTGATCGGGTCACATATGTTGTTTACGTAGATTAGGAAAAGTAGTGATCCGAGCACACTTCCCTGGAAGACGCTGCTGGTTATTTGTTTCGGTGTAGAATGTTGCTGACCGATTTTAACTACCTGAGTTCGACCGTTTAGGTATGAGTCTAACCAGTTAAGCAGAGGATTTCCAATTCCATATGACACTAGTGCGGCCAACAGTGGCTTGTGCGGCACGCGGTGGAACGCCTTTTGCATGCCAACAGAATTATACTGATTGCCATTTCTCTGTCAATCATAGTTGTGACGTGATCGAGAAATTGTAGCTGGTAAGTAACGCAGGAGCGTTTTAAGAGAAAGCCATGCCGTGAGGGGTTGATCAGATCCAGTCTTGTAAGATGTTGAACAATGTTCTTCTTGACTATTCTCTCTAGGGCTTTGGAAGCAGCTGAGGTGTGATTTATTGGGCGATAGCTTGATACTTGATTTCTCGGGCCACCCTTGTGCTTAGGCATTATAATGGACTGCTTCCATTGAGTTGGAAAGCAGCCGGTAGTGAGAGAAAGTGTGAAGATGTTTAATAACAATAGAGCGAGGTTTTTTCCTCCGAGTTTTATAACAGTTGGGGAGATGCCATCTGGGCCTGGACGAGTTGATGGTTTTATGGATGCGATGGCACTTTGCACCTCTCTTAACGTCACAGGGATATTACAGCATAGTTCGGTCGTTCTTTATGGAAGTGGAGGATGAAATGGCTGAGTGTTGGGGACAAAACAGGAGGCAAAACTAGAGTTGATAGCCTCGCATATACAGGAGATGTCGCGCGTTATTGAATCATCGTCTAGAGCCAACGTTTCGATTTCCTGATGGGGTTTAGGGTTCCTTCTTTTGAGTAATTGCATCAATGTACGTACTTTTTTAGGATTTCCGAGAACCTGACTTTTTTCTTTTATTTTGACCGTTTGGGTTAGACGTTGTAAATGTAGTAACTTCTCGTGTATTTTGTAGCAATGTTGCGAAGCGGTTGTTGCTGCCATATAGCGATTTGAGTTTCTTTAGTTTGATTTTGGCTTTGTATAGAAGCTTGAGTTCACCACTATGTTCATGGGTATTTCTCCATATGGTAGGTGCCATTAGATCCACACCAAGGGCAATATTCTTTATAGTAGATGTGATCACTCGCCATAGTGTATCTTCTAAGTCATTTAGCACAACTTGATCTGCAGGAATTGGAGTCAGGTTGTTTCGAAGATATATGGCACAGCCACCACCACGTTTGTGTGCGCAGTCGTTGCGGAAAATTTTATAGCCTATGATGTTAATCTGAGAATTACTAATTTCTGACCTGCACCAAGTTTCACTGCTATCTTGCCATTTGAAACCCGTGCCTTTGAGCCTGACCTTACTGGTTTGCTATAGTCAAATCTCAGTTTCACCCTCACCTTGAAATCGCAATACAATATTTATAACATATGTTTACCTCACAAAATGCGATAAGTTTGGACACCCCTATGTTAGGCCATGCATTCAAGGAATCCATGATGCGAAATGGCTCTACCTTGCCTAACAGGCTACCATTCGGTACTTCATCGAAGGCATTTTGCATATCGATCAATAGGCTGATAGCTGCAAGGCCATTATTTATACAACTTGTCAACTAATTCAGAAATTCGATTTAAATAAATTAATGGATATATTCCCCGACGAGCGGGATAGGTTCCCCTTTGTGGCATGTGTGTCATGCTCGCCTCTTTCTTAAGTCGTCTGGCTTCGTTAATATAGTTTTATGTGAGTAAATGGGATGCGGTTCTCTCTGACGACAGACGTAAAACCGAAGCTCTGACACTTCTTGATTTCTACGTGCAGTCTCAACGGATCGCGGACCATTGTACACCATTTAATCCCGTTTTGCGTCCTTTTTCCAAAATCGGAACAAGTGCTGAAGGATATCTGACGGTTCCTGCAAAAACTGCAAAACCTTCCAAATCACTCTGTGCTCCGCTCTGCAGTGGATTTTTCTTTACCCATCTCAACGTACACCAACCAAATTCCAATCATTCGACTCGGAATTACCAACAACCACTTGGCCAGCTCCATACCATCGCAATCCACAACTCTTGGCGCTACTTAGAGCCATATTTCCTAATATGACCAGTAAATCTGCT